CTTTTCAGACTAGGTATATACGACGCCAGATGCATTGGCCGATAGGACGTTCAAAGATATCATCTGAAAGAAATGTCTAGACCGCCGTGATCTACAACGATTTGTATATATAGCAGACAGTGCTTACATGAGTAGTTGTTAAAGCTGCTGATTTAAATAACGTGAGTTCGGCAACGCAAGGTTGTTATGGTATCCTACGTTGTGCTCTAAGTAATTACGGCAACGATGTCGTGTCGGGAAATCAACTATTCTTCAATATTTACCGAAGCACAAAATGCGTACATTTTGAAGCAGTTATACCAATCAACAGCTTCACAGTTTTAGACGTTTGGCATGCAATAAGTAGTGCGCCTGCTCAAGTTTTGCCTTCAAACGCTGTCTAGGTGAAGTCATCACAAGAGATAACCCACAGTCACTCACTTCACAACTTTGCGCATTTTGAAGATTTTTTTTTGAAATGTTTAAAAGTAATAGACGTAGAAATACAATTTACGAGTCTCACTGAAAACAAGAATAAAGTTCATTTCTGTGATTAACAGTAATCGTCAAATATGAGAGTTTCGTTGAAACAAAGAGTTACGAGCGAAAACACTATACATAGTTGGACGGCAGAATGGTATTTGTTTGGGCCTCGAACTTCGGCTCTTAGTTCATCAGCTGCCTTCATTGACAATGGACGACTTTCGCCCAACGGTCGATTTTTGAATTTTTCTTCCAAAATTTATTCACAGTAAGTGGGACTATACCTAGTACCACGGATTTAACATACCGCTATTATGAGAAAGGCTAAAATGATTAATACTAAGGCATATGTGAAATGCACTCCAAAAATGACGGAATCACTTTTGCAGCTAATGCTCTAGAAGAGTACTACCATTTTTTTCACTTCAACAGCACGAAATATATAAAGGATAAAGCTCTCGGCGTTAATCAATCTCTAAGAGATGCGCCAAGAATTCGACTTCATTAAATATCGTTGGAGGTGATTGAATGCATATCTGGCCCTTCCAATGACTCGCGGAAGCCTACCGATGTATCAAGCCAATGCTGCTGTCTTCCTAGACAAGTCCGGCACCAATTTTACGACCCCGGAGAAATAGAAGGCTTGGTGAGCCATGGGCTGAGGGATCAATCCTACGTGCGTGTTGCAGAGCGCCTCCGACCACTGCGCCACGGGCGCCCTTTCACGAAACATATACAGAAAAAAATTAACGCCGTGTTGTGCAAATCTGACAGGCAGATGGCAATAATATGGGATAAAGTAAACATTGTCGCAAAATTGACATCCAAATGGCCGACATTTTCTGCGTATGCAGGCACGTGCATGCATGTACATTCCACATACATGCGTGTATACGCGTAGACAGGACGCATGTAAAGCAGTGCTTAGAGACGCCGTGCAATACATATGAGATTGGTCTTGCATCCTAGGCTCACCAAGCCCTCTATCCCTCCGGGATCGGCAAGCCGATATCAGACTTAAGTTGCAGTGGTTAGTGATGCCGTCGGTCAGCAATGGCGCTAGCTTGCCCCTTACGCAACACTCTCTCTCAATCCACGTTCGAACGCCTTAGCCCTGATATCTCTAAGATGCCGAAAAGAATCGACTAGACCAGCATTCTACTTCATAAAGAAGACGTAATCATCAGGAAGAAGGCAAGCTTTCTCGTGAAAAGCTACAAGGCATTCGTCCGATCATCCGATGGATGCGAGGAAAGTGTAAGAAAGTGCTGGGATCCACACATTATATCCGCATATTAGTTGTGATGAAAGGTTGATGTAAAGTAAATAGAAAATTTGTATATAAATAAATATGCGTAGATAAAAAATTCATATATAAATAAATATGTGTGATGGGATTCCAAGGTGAATCAACATGACCACCATTCAACGGCGGTCGAAGCGAAGACGATATCCACGGGCAGCGTGCGAACGCAAACCCGAAGACCATCGTAAGTGACGGATACAAGGAAACGAGATGAATGCCAAAATTACTGGAATCCGCGCAATATGTGATGTCTGATTGGGTAAAGAATGGCGTCGATGACAACACATATAGACTTTGACAAATAGACGGAAATATGGAGTTACCAAGTATACATGAGTGCTATGAACCGACGCAGCGATATTCAACAATGAAAAAGGTAGATTTAAGCGATCCACTAGTGAGGACATGCCTTAGAAAATCTGAAAGAGTGAACTCGACCACAATTATGAGAGTATTCGACCAACGAAACTCTCTAGCACTGAGAAAAGATTTTGCCTTTCCATCGAATCGTCTCCTTATCGTAGAAAACGAGCGCAGGTGATAGAAAGGAAATTCTGAAGAAATTGCGAAACATGGAAAAAATCAGTAGCGAACTAACCGTATTTTCGCGGCGAAATAAAAATGTATTGAAAGCGATTAAGTGCAAGAAACGCTGGAAACTACAGCAACTTCCCGACCATTTCGTTCTTTCTTGAATTCTGTTAACACCACCGGAAATTACAGCTGCTACGCCGACTAGGTACACATTACTTGATACTTGATGCTTGAATGGCTCGTCCTCACTGCTTGTGTGGGCCTGAGCACAATCTCCACTTTCCGGAGATTCGCTGATTGGGCTATTGTGGTTCCCTAGAATCCCGAGGTCAGCTTGGCCAAAGCCCCAGGTCTTCACCACCACATGCAGTCGCTGCCCTTGTGGATCAAAGGGATCAATGGGAGATTTGCTACCATGCGACTTTGACACCAGGACGGTGGTGGAACCTGGTATTGGTTTACTCTTAAGCTAGGCTTCCTCATGAAAACGCCGGACTCCTTTCCAGCTTGGAAGACCCTGCCAAGGGACGAATCCTCGCTGTGCATCGATCGCAGTCCGACACTCAGAAACACCTCCCAGCCACGATGAGTCGGTAAACCGTTGGAAGGAAGTACATATTAAAAAGGAAAAAATGCCTGGCGAAAAACAGTATGTGACAAATTCTGCGCAGTTGAGTGTTCTCGACGCATCGTCAACTTTTCCATACATCAGATCAGCTACAGATATTAGGAAGGCATTCTCTAGAACGAACGGCTCTGTTATATAATGGGAAGCACTTTTTATTAACAAGGAATTGGATACAGGAACACATTGCACATCACTCTTTTTTTCATAAAATGTATCGTTTTCAATACAGTTCTGTTTCTACCATTTCTACCATTTTTATTGTTTCTATCCTTACCTCAGTCAAATTACTCTGCATGGCCTGTTTAGGACCAATAAGGGTAAATCAGTCCTTACCGCTGCCTGTTGGTCGAAAATCATGCATTGTCTGTGATGACAGCTGGTTAACCATGAGACGACGTTTCAGGCTCAAATTTCGGGTGATCTTCAGCCACAGAATTTTTTATGTACTGTTATGTTCACTGGTTTTTGATTGAGCTTTCTATATAAAGACAGTTTTAGTTTTTTTTTTTAAACAATGCAAGAATAAGACATACTAGAATGCAACAAATGCAATCAACCGCTTATATTTCACAAGAAACTCTTACCTTCATCACAGGTAGCACTTCACACTGAACTGAAGTAAACCACTGATGAAGACACTGAAAAGTCGTTCTCCTGGTATGATGCGCGCAACTGTGTATTTAATAAGAGCCCAAGTAGCTTCTATGTAGTTCTTAGGCAATTGATTAATGCTTTTTGCATCGAAGTGTAAGGTACAATCTGCACGGAAGCGAGCATACTTACGCTCGCATTCAGGGATTTGCCCACTTCTGTACAGAGGCTACAACCCAGTCCAACTCAGCCAAGGAATCCACATTGATCAGCTCGAGGTACTTCACAAGCTAACTATCTGCGTAACACAAGATCCCTCTTTTCCAACAATATGAAACATATTTAAGGAATATATCGTGGTATTGAAAACCTTCGACTTAGAGAAAGAAATACACGGTGATATAAAGTCCTTAATGAAATGACAACCAGTAGTGATAAGAGATACTGAAGCTGTTCGATTGTATCTGACAAGCATGAGTAATGTAGATGCAAAATCAGTTCCATGGCTAGCTCAACTCACCACCGACAATAGTGAAAAATTACGTCATTGGTAAATGCTCGAGAAAACTCTCAAACTCAGCTTGATAATGTAAGGGCCAATTCTACAAGTGGGTTGAAAGTGGAGAAAGAGAGAGTTCTCTATAGCAAATGCACATCTCGTTTCTACATTTCGCTTACACTTCTGAACAGAGAAAATGATCAACGACCAAATTCCTTTGTTTCAATAGCTGCTAGGATTGAAAATATTTTGTCGGCTATGTAAATGGTGAGCAGTAAAATCTGTATAAAACTGAGTTGAATCAAAACAGGCTATTCATTCCCTTTTCCTCCTCTCTTCTGATAAGGCTCTGTTTCAGGATGAGGGTTTTACTACTCTCATGTCTTGCTGTCTTCGTCAGCAGCGAAAAAAGCTTCGAAGAAAAACTACAAGAAGGAAATCAGTTGCTCAAAAATGTAAGTAGGACGATTTAATCAGTTCAAAAGCCTGAACATGGTGATCAGCCAAGTTGTAATAAGTTGCCACTTCAACGTATTGTGATCAACTGTGCTTTCTTAACTTTTAATTTTTCATTTTTCTTAGGAACCAAACGCGGACGATACTATGGAATTCCTTAAAAAATTGCACAACATGGAGAAGGAAATCAAAGAGGAATACTCTACAAAACCGAATGCAGAAGAACGGAAAGCAGTGGAGGTGAGCACATGGTCTCGTGTGTAGATGCCGACGATGTAATGAATCTGAATCTTTAGGAATACGCAGAAATCAAACCATCTGACATGGGTGCTTCAATCGCTGGTGTCAAAAGGGACAGCAAAGTTAGCAATGCATTGTTCCAGGGAGACATCATTCTAACAAAGTCCGTTCATTTTTGGAGATTCATTCGTCTATCATTTTTACTGCTATGTTCTGGTTTAACTTTCAGGCAACAAGCTGAAGAGATTTTGGAGGACATCACTAACAACAAAGGCAATCGTAAAAAACGACAAGCTTATCGTGATGAAAACTATCCTAAATTTTTGTGGTCTAACGGAGTGAATTTCGCTTTCCACAATTCAAGTTTGTCTATAAAGCTTTTGTTTGCATCCTCATCATATAAGCGACAAAACATATTTTTCACAACGGAGTTCAGCTAGTGTGGCGAAAAGAGTGTTTACAAGAGCAGCGGCAATGTGGTCTTGGGATACCTGCATTAACTTCGGAGAGACCGATAGAGGTTAGGAAAAGCAGTAGTTTGGAAATCACTATTTTTAAATACACTGCTAACAAGCGACATTACAGCTAAGGATAAAATCGTCGTCGTGAAAAGTAAAGGATGTTGGTCATATATCGGACGAATTGGTGGAAGTCAGGCTCTCTCATTAGGAGCTGGATGTGAATCGGTATGAATAATGGAGAATTTCTTCATATTTACAATGATACTCTATTTGAACGCCTCTGTTAGAATAGATGCATTTGGAAGTCTAAATTGTTGCATAACGGGACGGCATCCGTACATAGTTTAGGTTGGGACGGCTGCGCACGAGATCGGCCACGCCTTGGGTCTCTTCCACACACAGTCAAGGCACGATCGTGACAGTTTCGTTACACTTCAATTGCAAAACATCCTCGTAAGCCAGTACCAAACTAGCTGAACAGATTTTTTACGGAAAAAGATGTGATTTTAGCCCGGCTGGGAAACTCAGCTTGTTAAGCAAACCGAAAAAACCAACTACAACTATAACTTGACCTACGATTATGGAAGTCTTATGCATTATGGAGCAACCATGTTAGCCAACTTTCTGATGTTTTAGTGCAAAACAGAAGAGATGTGATAAATGTGTCAATTACAGTGTCTCCAAGAACCGCAAACCCTATATAGTGCCACACAACACCAAATTCATGCAAACCCTAGGGTCACCCTTTATTTCGTTCTATGATAAACTCATGGTGAACCTGCATTATAAATGCCTCGGTGAGAATATTACTATGCATCTACTCGATCTGTTGACATTACTACATTTCTCGTTAAAATACACTTTTTTAGACAAATGCAATGAAGCGTCTTCTGCAAAATGCGAGAATGGCGGGTACCCTCACCCAAGATACTGTTCGAGGTGTATTTGTCCTAGTGGATATGGCGGCAATACGTGCAATGAAAGAGTGAGAAAATCGAAATAACATCTCTCTGCTCTCTGGAATAGAATATAATTCAACAAACCTTCCTTTCAGCCACCTGGATGCGGTAAGGTACTGACAGCAACAGAATCGTACCAAGAACTTTCAGACACTGTGGGACAAACGAATTATGATCGTAATGCTAACAACGACAACTTCAAGATGTGCTACTATTGGATCGAGGTTTATGAGTTTGCAGATAACCTAATTTGATTGCAATTACTCAACGGTATACTGTCTAAGGCACCAGCTGGTTCAAAAATTGAAGTGGTCTTCCAAAACTACACTGAAAATTTGAGTTCCGATGGATGTGTATGGGCTGGTGTTGAGATCAAAACACTGGCAGATAAACGTCATACTGGTTATAGGTAAACGCCGAGGAATTCGAGCTTTCATTGGGTTTTGATACTTTACAGATGTTTAGATTTTGCTCACCGAATTACGGTGGAACAAGTTTGGTTTCTGTACACAACATCGTCCCTATAATTACTTACAGCAGAGTCTACAAAGCCACTTCCGTATTGCGCTACCGAATCGGTAATATTCCTGCGCAGGACTTTTAAAGCCTCCCCGAAATTACTTAATACACTTTGAAATACTGCAGCTTCTTCCGGGCCGGTAACATCTGAAACAACATCTCAACCAACGTCGCAGCAGACACCTCAACCCACACCTCATCAAACACCCCTGCCATCGTCCCAGTCAACACCTCAACCATCGTCACAGAAGACACCTCGCCCAACGGGCCAGCCTAAAAAGGATTGCAAGGATCGTGAATTGTACGGGCTATCGCTAAACATAAACTATAACTCATACATAACCAAAAATATCGTTTAGGTGCAACATGCTGGAGGATTTGGGTTTTTGCAGCTCCTCCGAATACAAGCTTAAATTCAAGCGAAAAGTGTGCCCCGGTGTGTGTGCCTAATGGTTATTTTCTTCACGAATAAACTCATTTAGACAGATGTATTTACATGCTCACCACTAAACACAGGTATATATATATATATATATATATATATATATGAACACGTGAAAATTGCCCAGCCTTAGAGTAACCGAGTATCAAACTTTTCGAAACCAGTATCACACAGAGATTCCATGCGAGATCTATAATCTCATTAAGTCTATGATATCTATAGTCAAGAATTATAGCACATCATTAATCAGTATGTACACCTTCTTTGATGACTTTGCACGAGGTTGATAAATATATTTCAATATGTTATTATAATACTTATTAATATTCTTAGCACCAGTCCGTAGTATAGCCATCTTGGATAATGATAAGAACTCCTTTTTGTCTCTGCCCGGTATTGGGAGAACCACTTATTTTCCGGAATTGGATTCTCTCTCGAAGTAAGTGATGGAAAGTAAGGCTCTTGATGTTCATTGTACCCTAAGGGATGGGAACACTTTTGACTTTTACATAATGCTGAGATATTTGCAAAACTCCGGACCGCAGGTGAATGCGGTGAGGAACGAACGCGCTATTGTCCTTTCCGGGGAGCAACGCGTTCACCACCTCACCATGCCGGTCCTTCGTTTCGCCTGTCTCTCAGCTAGTGTTATCGATCTTTTGCCATCAGCAATCACCCGTCAGCGGGATTGATCTGGAGAGCCCAAATCGGCAACGAACCCAGTTAAACTGAGGCCGCAGTTATAAGAGACAGGCGCCTGACAGGCGAAACGAGAGACCCGCGTGGTGTGGTGGTGAACGCGTTACACCCCGGAAAGGACAACAGCGCGTTCTCGTTTTCTTGTTCAGCAATCGCGAGGTTTTTAAACAGCATACATTTACTTCCATAGAAAAACACAATACAATACAACGCTAGCTGACGTTTCGGCAGTATCGCCTTCTTCAGAGCCTGGAAGGGTATACTGATATACAATCAACTAGGCCAAACGCTTCAATAACACTTAAAAAAGACAAAGAACTCGTTCCGAAGAATAGCGCGTTCGTTCCCCACTGCATACACCTGCGGTCCGGAGTTTTGCAAATATCTCAGCATCATTGAAGTTATATTTCACAATGTATACCCTGCCGTTAAAAAGAGTAGACAGTAAATAATACGCTAAAATTGTTCTGATTATTTACTTCTATTAACAAAATATTTCTGTCTTTGTTTTGTTGACATCTTTCAAGTACTAATAAGTAGAAATACAAGCAAAGAGGAGGCGATGCTCAGTGACCTTAACGCAGCAAGAAGAATGACTGGATTGCGCATAAATGAAACGAAGACCCAGACCATGAAGAACACTTCGTGTTAAAGTGGACAGATTGAACTCGATGGTTCTCTTACTACAGAAATCACCTCGCACGAGTTACACTAGCGCTTAACGAACATTCAGGACCACACGAAGGATGAATGATATACATAGAAAACGGCCGCGATCGAGCTCATCAGAGAAGTACCACTACCCAATTGACGGACCCAAGACTTCTTTGACTCAACGATACTGCCTATGCTCTATTATGTAGCAGAGACGTGGGTTCATTCTTCAACCACATCGAAAATTCTGTGCTTCACAGATTATGCGCTTGAAGTTTTCTAAAATTCAATCTGCATATACAGTATCTAGCCACAAAATGTAGTACGGAACATCCAAACCTGCTTCATCTTCAAGGACCAGAAGACAACACATCGGTAGAAATATGTGGACGACCTGATTATTTCGTGAATTAAACAGCAAATAGATGGACAAATAGAAGTGTATAGTGGAGGAGTGTGCACGAGGATGCAACCTTCTTCTGGGGCAACGACCTATAGTGTAGGAGAGAGTATTTGTAGCCAACAGCAATCAGCTCTATTCGCAGCTGCAAACGCTCTACGTTGTATGATCCATCGCCATACTTGGAGCAAGGTACCGTCATGGACTCTGAGAGCGAGGCAAAGAAATGAATGGAAAGTGTGTACGGGCTCACACTACTCATGTTGACGCACCATCCAAGCATCCATGTCGCTTTTTATCCGCCCCGAATTCACATATTGCGCGGACTCCAACGCTTTTATTCAATTTGTTGTTCCGCATCTATCACCTAAAAAAGTATTCAGATTCGAGTGTAAATTCAGCTGCCACTTGAGGACTTTACCTTCTTCGTGAATGTCGTTGAACGCAGCTCGAATTGATTCCGCCTGAAATCGTGGACAGGAGCGTTCTCGCCTTTTCTACAGGTAGTCGCAGCCATTTATGGATCAGAGAAAAAGAACATCTCAGAAAGGCCTGCTATCAATTTGCCATCAGCCAATAAATGGGAAGCTGACGCTTAGTCGAACCACCAGCCATGCATGTTTGTACTGCACTTTGCTTTCTACGTCTTGATCTTCCAGTAATTGGGAATGTGACGTGACCTCCTATGTTCTTTGACTTTCCGTTAAATTCTTAACAATTCATCAATCTATTTCGCCTCATTATAATCGTTATCTACAAAGATGGCTGGTTCTGCCAATATTTAGGAATCTGTCACCTTTCATGTCTAGTGACATATTGCGTGCTGGTTGAACTTAAATTACCATGTAACTTACGAGATACCACTTCTAGAACATTCCCAGATTCTCACCACCACAAGCAATCGCCATGTGGATAGGCCAACAATTAAGTACTGGTAGTGCTCATTCTGACAAGAACATTTCCCACGTAGGGTAGGTCAGTTCCAAATAATTTGATTTAACCTTCACCCACATCAAGATGTTGCAACCGTAGCGGTTCCCACACTCTTCGGGCACATTTCATTATCCCCAGTTGGTTGCTGTGTAGTTTATCTGCTTCACATCATCGTACTCTTTATCTTCGTTTTTTTTTCATACGATCAGCCTTTCACGTCTAGTGTGCAGATCCGGGCACTTTTCATATTCGATTTGTTTCCTCGCATCCATCATCCACTAAGGTCTTTCAATTTTTTCACGCGGCCTTGGTTGCAGCATAAAGAATTTCCTCTTTTGAGTGTCGTAGAATGCTCGTCGGTTCGTCTTGGGATGAAGAGACAACGGCGTTCCCACTTCGACTCCGTAGAGTGATTTTTTCGGATAAGTCCGGTACTAATTTCCCGGTCCCGGAAGTAAGGGATGCCTGATGAGCCCGGAGAGGGATCAAACCAGTACCATGCTCGTGTTGTTTGAGATCACTACCAATGCTTTATCTGCCTTCTTTATCGTGGCTTTCCATAGTGGGAACCGTTTCCATGTGTCAGCGTCGGCTGTATATATTTACATTGACCTCGGTTGTAAACGTACCTTTTTACACGATGGCCAGTTGATGGAAAGATACATCGCCATCTATGTGTCCTTAAATTTGGATGCTCCAGTTATTTTGGATTAATTCTTTTTAATCTGACAAATCAATGCAGTACGAAATCTGATCGAAAATAATCCACCCTCTGTGATCTCATTTCTAACTAGAGTAAAAAGGATAAAGCTCTCGCCGTTGATCAATCCCTGAGATATGCGCCATGCATTCGATTTCATTAAGTATCATTGGAGGTGATTGGATGCATATCTGGCCTTTACAATAACTCGCGGTAGCGTACCGATATGTCGAGCCTCCCAGACAAGTCTGGTACCAATTCGACCCCGGAGAGATAGAAGGCTTGGTGGCAATGGCACTGGAATCGATTCCACGTGTGTGTTGCAGGGCAACTAGACTACCATACTATTATTTTAAAAGTCTTCAAATCTGGGCTCACATAGATTACGAGCGAATGAAGAATATTTCTTGTGTAGGTTTTATATCACAGCTTGTATGTTTTTATGGACCAAATCATGAATATGGGGATTTACAGCGTTTTCAGCCTATTTTCAAAAGCTGCTTTTTCATGGTTTCTACGAAGAGGAATGTTCAAAACATCTCCTTTCATCTTTGACCATCAACTCCTCGCTAACACAAGCGTTTTTCATAAATACGAGTTGTAACGTTAGAGATAAATTTTTTTCCTGGGATATAGCTGATGAACTTTGAGTGACTCGTAGATGCAAATTCTCTCGATTGAGATTCCTTCTAGAAAGTAATGAAGTATCTAGTGGAGAATCACCAACAATTGACTTATAGGTCATGGTTCATGGTCATAAATTAAATAGAAGACCGGGAGTGCCTCTGAGCAAGCAAAATGCTGATGAAAAAGTTTAAGATTAGCTTTTTTTTAACCCAAGCTCTAAAGATATCTGTGACGTAAACCATCAGGCTGATTGAAGACACAACACCCGATTATAGTTTGTTTATATCCCATATAATTCTGGCTACTTCTTGAAGTTTGGTTCATAATACCTTTCAAACAGCATTCTGGAAAACGTCAATCATTCAAGCTAATTAGTAGATCCAGTTGTCCTAGGCATCTAGGCAACATTTGTTTTTTTTTACGTTTTTAGGTACTGGGTCAGAACCATCGGACTAGAATGAAACGAAGTGTTTGGGCTGCTGCTTGTATTTTTCATAACGATAAAGACCCATTCATGGTAAAATTGAAGAAGCCGTTCTCTCAATGTTAGATACGGAAGAAGACCCAAGTTATTCAAAACATGCTCGAGAGGTGGTTCCATCTAAAGAGTTTTGGTGCATACCTACTCTTTCACAACTGGACATGTAAAATATTCTGTAATCGCGAAGGTTTGCTGGATGAAGGAAGGCGTCGCTACAATGATAGCTACGACAACAGTACTTCTTTGGTTTAAGATTTACTTTGGAGTTAGGGACCTATTTCAGCGGTATCTGTGGGAAAAACAGGAGGAAATTTCATAGTAAAGTCACCCCGCATAAGCTAAAGCAGGTGCTGAGCAGTAACCCAGCAAAATCGGAGCTGCATAGCCCTGAAACCTTGAAATGTAAAGATAAGAAGGGAGTTATCATGGTGGTATGCACAGTTCACGACGCAAGTCTGAAGCTCACAACGGTTTCCGAGTCTTGCTCATATCTAAGACTTTTTAAAAAAGCAAGATTGTTAATCGCTTTCTATCGCAGGGAAGCATAGCAAGCCCTGTTTAAAGATAATTGATTAATTTAACTTATTATTTACTGCCTACTATTTTTAATGGCAGGCATCAGCTTAACTGGGTTCGCTTCCGATTTGGTCTCTCCAGATCGATCCCGCTGACGGGTGATTGCTGATGTCAGAGATTGATAGAACTAGCTGAGAGACAGACGAAACGAAGGACCCGCATGGTGTGGTGGTGAACGCGTTACTCCCCGGAAAGGACAACAACGCGTTCGCTCCCCACCGCACACCTGCGGTCCGGAGTTTTGCAAATATCTCAGCGTCATTGAAGTTAAAATTGATTATATATAGAATATGCATATATATGCATAATTCGCAGATTGTAGGTAGCAAAATAAGTGTGAAATGAAAAGAAATAAGACTTTCATTGTTTCAAAAGACAAATTTTGATGGATCTCATTGTTGGGTTCCATTTTCTGTAAGGTTCGAGCGGCCCTGAGGGAAGCCTTTTCAATGACTTATCACATTATTACAACCAAAACACCTCTTCAAATGTCGAATTCCAATGTCTAGGTAGTTGCACTTCTGTTCGCATTCACGGAACACACTATGTGGGATGCATACACTCTTCAATTGCGATTGTCTATCACTGCAAAATAAACTCATCCAGAAAGATTTTTTAAGTAATTAAACGAACAGACTAGATTTTCACAGGTTAGTCCTGGTAGAACATCTGTGTTGGACAGCCTATCAACAGAATATAAAATATAAAATATAGAATAACATTGGAAGTCACGAAAAAGCGGCTCTGAAGAAGGCGATACTGCCGAAACGTCAGCTAGCGTTGTATTCCATTGTGTTTTTATGGAAGTAAATGTATGCTGTTTAAAAACCTCGCGATTGCTAAACAAGAAAACGACACATTCATAAAATATTCGCTTAAGAACTCTGTACAATAATAGTCCGCCGGGCGGGTGGTACTGTTTATACAATCGAAACGAAATTGGAAATCGTTCCAAGCGGTATCTACGTAACTCTGAGCGTCCGGCACTACCTTCTAAAGCATTGGAAACTTGAAGGGTTGAGAAAATCACGAATTCATAGAAGAGGTTATATTTTCTCGATAGAGCGGTGTATACCTTGTTATTTAAAATATTTTACCACGGTCCAACACAGTGCTGTCAGCACTTGGAAGTCTTCAGCCACTTATTTTTGTTCTGTTTCGGTAATCTTTACATATACTTGCACTATAAGGTAACTATTACCCTTTATAACGATTGGAAATCGAAGAGGAAGACCTGTACTGTTGATCGAAATAAGAAAAGAAGCTCATGTTGCGCAGTGGTGGGAGGTGCCCTGCAATAAACATGCGCCCAAAGCTCACAAGCCTTCCATACCTCCGCAGTCGGCAAATTGATACCAGACCTGCCTGGGAAGATAGCACCATTGGGTCGATACATCGGTAGGCCACTGCGAGTCATTGTAAAGGACAAATATAAATACAATCAATTCCAACGATGCTTAATGAGGTCGAATGCACGGCGCATTCCTCAGAGTTTGATTAACGCCGACAGCTCTATCCTTTATTTTTACCAACTGCCAAAGGATGCACTGCCACCATGAAAACAAACTGTATTGGATCGCAATAGGTCAACAACCATCTTACACAAAAGATGTAGCTAAGAGAGAAAACCGTATGGCAATCCATTCCTTCGGATTCGACTCCATGCAACTGCGAAGATCCCTATCACGACAATGACTGACTGTGGACCATTGCCTCAGATCAAACCTGCTCTGAAAAAGACGAGGGCGCTGATACACTAATCAGGCAAGCTTTTTACGAGGATCTAGAACCAGCTTAGTCATCGTAAAAGCTGTTGGTTTTTAGAGAACTTAAAAATCGCTCGCGTGATTCTGATGTGGTTAACTGAGTATTGAATACGGCAACAAATAGCACCTATGTACTTTTCAGACAAATGCTTGTTGTTTGGTTAAATCGAAGTGCTATATACAGTCAGTACGTATGCAAACACACCTACGCACCGATTCATAGGACTGAATCCATAGGAGTTTTTCAAACTCAACACAAGACGACCTCGTCTTCTAGCTGTATGAAACATGTTAGAAGAAAATATCCTGCTTTCTAAAAAATCTTTCGAGTGAGAGAAGACATCTCGCGGCAAATGGACGTATCTATCAAATGGAGCTAAGCAACGATCAAGAGATAAGGAAGCTGCCTAAGAGTACATAATATGGATAAGTAATATTCGTAGGAAACCCTGCCCTTAGCCGACCTTACTAGTGACAATGCCGAAGAACTCTATGTTGATGATAAAACTTACATAATAAAATGGGATGACATAAATCACAATCCTGCAAGTAGGATAAAAGTAAAATGAGAGGATCTGTTTTCAAACACATGCAAAGTGCATCTAAACATTTCGATCAGAGTTCTCAATAGATAGAATGAACAATGAAAAAAATCCTTTGTTTCATTTCTAACTAGTAACCAAAATATTTGGCTGGCTTTGTAAACAGTGAGCAGTAAAATCAGTATAAAATTGAGGCTAATCAAAGCAACTCATTCTCTTTTCTTGTTTTCTTTCAGTGAAGCTCTCTCTTATACCAATCTGCTTGATATTTCAGAATGAGGGTTCTATTACTCTCGTTTCTTGCAGTCATCGTGAGCAGTGAAGAAAGTTTTGAAGAAAAACTAAAAGAAGGGCATCAGTTACTCAAAAACGTGCGTAAGACGATTTGAAGAGTTGAAGCGCCGGAATACTGTCACCGGCTATCGTCCTTCACTTGAAATATCCACTTTCGTAGGATCCGAATGCGGATGATACGATGGAATTTCTCCAGAAACTGCACACTATGGAAAAAGAAATTAAAGAGGAATACTCTAAAGAACCGACCACTGAAGAATTGAAAGCAATGGAGGTTAGCACGTGTTCTCATGCACGGATTTCGGCGATATAGTGAATTCGATTCTTCAGGATTATGCAAAAATCAAAAAGTCCGACATGGGTGTTTCAATCGCAGGAGTCAATAGGGACAGCAAAGTTGGCAATGCGCTGTTCCAAGGAGACATGATTCTGACGAAGTTTTTTCATTTTTCGACATTCGCTTGTTGTCAATTATTTTGCATTTTCATGATCTGCTCTAATTTTCAGAAAGCAAGCCGATGAGATATTGGAAGACATCAAGGAAAGCAAGGGCAATCGCGACAAACGGCAAGCTTATCGTGACGAAAAATATCCTGGAACTCTGTGGTCTCAAGGAATAAATTACGTGTTTTGGAACGCAAGTTTGTCTTCTATTCTACTTTTTACATAGTAATCACATAAAAGTCAGAACATATTCCCAGCAAAAAAGTTCAGCTAACTCGGCCAGACGAGTGTTCAAGAAAGCTGCCGTGATATGGAGTGAGAATACCTGCCTTGAATTCAAGGAGGACAATTCAGGTGAGCCAAAACTGAGACTGAAGACATCTGGTTTTTCCAAGGCTTGATAAGCGATTAATGACGAAATTTCTAGCTACGGATAAAGTATACGTTGTCCACGGTGCAGGATGTTGGTCACATGTCGGAAGAATTGGAGGATCTCAGATCCTCTCACTAGGCGACCGTTGTGACTACGTATGTACTAGGGATTTGCTGACATTTACATTGAAATAATCTTTATATGGCTGTGCAAGGAAAAGAGATTTCAGCCGAACTAAAATTACATGGAATCCTTATTTGATCTAGATTGGATTGGGTTTGCACGAACTCGGCCACACCATAGGTCTCTTCCACACGCAATCGAGACATGATCGTGACGATTTCATCACACTTCATTTCGAGAACCTCATTGTAAGTCGTTACTGAATAACCAGCGCACTTTTTTGGTAAAAATATGCAGTTTTAGGACGGCTGGGAGGATCAGTTCGCTAAAGAATCTGAACGTACTAACTACAACTACAACATCACCTACGATTACGGAACTGTAATGCATTACGGAGCAACTGCGTAGGCCAAATTTGCAATATTTCTGTATAGAACACCTAAAAAGTAGTGAAAATTTAAATTACAGTGTCTCAAAGAACGGTAGGCCTTACATGGCCCCACGTGATTTGAAATTCTTGCCTACCCTAGGATCCTACATTCTTTCGTTCTACGAAAAACTCATGGTCAACCTGCACTATAAATGCCTCGGTGAGAATGTTGCTATATAGGCAGGTGATCGACTGACATGACATCACTTTCAATAAAATCTGCACTTTTTAGACAAGTGCACCGAAGGGTCATCGGCAAAGTGCGAAAACGGCGGGTTCCCTCATCCAAGGGACTGCTCGAAATGTATTTGTCCCAGCGGATATGGCGGAAGACTCTGCAATGAAAGAGTGAGGGAATTAATGGTTAACATGGTTCTATAAACTAGAGACTGGACTAGTGCATCTCTTTTTCAGCCACCTGGATGTGGTAAGAAATTGACAGCAACAAACGAGTACCAAGAATTGTGGGACGTCGTGGGACAGAAGAATTATGACCGTTATGCTGCTAACGATGAATTTTACTTTTGCAACTACTGGATCGAGGTTTGTGAGTCTGCCTTGATTTTGCTTAACAGCAGTCAATAGATCACTGTTTAAGGGACCGCCTGGTTCAACGATTGAAGTGATCTTTCAAAACTACACCGAAAACTTGGCTTACGACGGATGTGTATGGGCAGGTGTTGAGATTAAAACATTAGCAGATCAGCGTCAAACTGGCTANGAATTCGGAGTTTTATAGGCTCCAACACATCATAGGTGTTTAGATTCTGCTCTCCGGATTACGGTGGAACTTCTCTGACCTCTACCCGTAACATGGTTCCTGTAATTACTTTCAGCAGACTCTACGAAGTTAAATCGCTCCTGCGCTATCGCATCGGTAATGCTCCTACCTGGAGCTTCTAAAACGTTTCTGAAATCGCTTTACATAATCTGAAACCTTGCAGCTTCTTCTGGTCCAGCCACTTCTGAGCCAACATCTGAAGAGACAGGTCAGCCAACACAGCCGACTCGTCAACCATCGTCAGAGAGAACACCCGGTCCAACCAGTGAGCCCAAGAAGCGTTGCTATGAACGTAAATTGTACGTGCTCCTAATCATTCTCGAATACTTTTGCATAATCTACACAATAAAAACATCTTCTAGGTGCCAAATACTGGTGAAATTAAGCCTTTGCGATTCTTCTGCATACACTGCGGAACTCAAAGAACAGGTTTGCCCGGGCTCATGCAGATAATGTTTAGTTTTTTCGCAAATAAATTCATTGAAACACACGTACTCACACACTCGCTGCTCATAAACGTTCGTAGCTTCCCTACACATATGTATGTGTGTACGATAGCCAGTCTTCGCCAATTATGTAGCTCTAGTAACTTAAATGGGGAATAAAGCGTTTTGTCCTCTTTTTGAAGATTTGCAATAATAAGGACGCTTCCCTCGCGTCAGTCGTTGTCATCTACCGTTAAAAACTACAGTTAATTCAGTTCTCTCTTAAACGACCTGTCGGTTTTTTAAGCTTTCCCTTCCTAACATCGGTAAAGATGCACTAAATGAGCATAAATGTTCTAAAGCATATGAATGGCGTAGTACGAATTCTCATAATATGAATCCGTAGCGGTTCCCTAACGATGCACTTCGAACTAAGCAAGTCCTCCATCTTTTCGTGGTTGGTAAAATAACATCAAACTTGCCTGGAGTGTTAAAAAAAACAACGAGCTAATGCACTGATAGGCCACACAAGCTATTTTTAAGAGAAATTTGAGGTTAATCAGTTGTGAAATGCGTTGCTGAGTCGAATTTATAGAGAATGGATAAATGTGTTTATGAGGAGTCAGAGTAACATTAAGCAAATCGTAGCACAGGATGAGGATAGTGCAGTGATTGCAACAGATTGCAACAGTTGAAAATCAGCTGCTAGTCCAAGAGGCAGTGCCGATAAACGCCACGCATGATGAAATTGTTAAGCAAATATTATCAGTGACTTTTGTCACGCATTACACTCCTGAAAAGTATCCAAGAGATGTAAATTTAGTGTGAAGGGTAGGAATTTAAAATAAAGCTTCCCTAGTAGTCTGAGTAGGTGAGATAAAGGACAAATAACATCACGTGCGACTAGCACAGTTCAACCGAGAAAAACTCCTAAGACGAATAGCTTAAGACCAACAACACAAATTACACGAAAAGGAAATGCAGGAGACTATTTATGTGGGTGGAGCGCCTCTCTTAGACGACGGAATGGAAAGTTCATGAATATTACTAAAGTGAATGCTTGGACGGCCAGTCATCAAGAGTTGTGCGGAATCCAGCACATCTTCCATTCGTTTCCTTGCCCAGCAATCGTCCTCGATGGTGGTTAGTGCGAATCTCGGCGTGACCCATAAAACAGCTGCAGCTGCAAGCGCAACTGATTAACTTTAGTTACGAACAGGTCCACCCAACCTGTAGGTGGTCTCCTACGCGACCCCTGCATGCAAATGAAGTCCACAATACAGTTCTATTCGTCTACCTATTGTCTATTCTTCGCACTAGACTGCTACAAAATCCATATAAAAAAACCACTTTCGGTGGCTTAAGACGGATATAAACAGCTTTACATGCAATGTGTCCAAAGATATGCCCTCAATCATCAATGAGAATCATGTTCCTGTACAAATCTAAAAGACAGAAACAAAGTACCTTCGCAACAGACTAAATAAAAGTAGTACTACAGAAGTGACATCATAAAAAACAACTCTGAGCATAAAAGACTGAGAGTGATCTCTATGAGTTAGGGAATGATATTAGAGACTTATTTGGATACTTAAATAGCCCGTCTTCACTGGTTGTGCGGTCCTTAGCATAATTCTTCGCAATCATCGACTTCAAAACTGTCCCAAAACCCAGAACACTAAGATTATACATTTTCGGCTAACGTTTCGACGCCTTCGTCTTCCTCAGAGCCGATGATCCGAGTCGATGGTCCTCGCTTGCTATTCGCCTCGACGTGGCAGCTTCGCCTTCATGTCGAGTTAGGTCTTCTTCAGTGAGCCATCTCCTCGAATGAGGCATCCTTACTCAGTGGTGCCCTTTTATACACGATGCTGATGGTCTATATAATGATAATGTCCGGTGATAACAACTTGTTTTTCTTCCGGACATGCATCATTGCGCACATCGTGCAGAAGTCCATCGAGGATCATCGACTCGGATCATCGGCTCTGAGGAAGACGAAGACGTCGAAACGTTAGCCGAAAATAAACATCATTATCAACCTCGTGTAAGCTCATCAAAGAAAGAATACATATTGATTAGTGATACCGAGGTTCAAGGAAAGTCGGTTTCGAAACTAAGATTATACAGTTCGAGAACCATCCGCCGAACAACGTATAATATTTAGCTCATTCTGGGATGAGTATAACAACAAAGACGAAGAACCAGTCATCAAAATAGACTGCCTTTGTTGCAATAGTAGTAAGAAACCAAAAGAATCGATATTCTGCAATTCTTATAAAGCGAGGCGTTCTGGACTGAAGCACTGGTCTGGCTTGATCTCCGAAATAAGGCGACTAATACTTTCGTTAGTTCATAAAGCTGTTTACTATTGAGTCAAAATTTCAGATGAAAACTAGATTATGAGTAAGATTACGGTATGAATTAATAGAGCAACTTACAAGTCTACAATACTTGTCCAGATTCCGAAGAAGATGAAACTCTTCGAAACATTGAAAGGAGAGAAATTGATAGTGACCTCGTGGAGGCAAATCAGAAACGATAGAAATACATGGACTCATTTAAAACAGAAGTTCCGAAAATTGAAAGCACATCTTGGGAAAGCCTTTTATGTTTTCGAGATACTTCGGTTATGAATGTGTCTGTCGAAGGGTGGCTTTGAGTCTCCTGAAAGAAATTGCGCGAAGCATGGATTAGATTTAGAAGAAAGATTTGAGACATTATGAGCGGAGTTTTAGAAGTTCTATTGCCTTGTTAAAGAATAAATTGTAGTCATGTACGACATTTGAGTGATGCTATTTCTCATTTAATACTGGAGATTATGAAGCGAAGAAATTACTGCTGCCAACTTTGGGTGAGGTTCCAGATGACAGGATAGAACCAAACACAATGAGAAGAAAAATAGGCCAGATGGGACGGAACTTTCTAACAAAGTTCTGAAAGTTCTGAAAACAGCATTTTAACGCTTCAGAAAATTTTTTCTTGAATAAAACAGACACGTTGCAGCTGATTGACAGCAAACATTTCGTTCAAAATCCACCAGCAACATGAAAAACCGGCTTCTCAAGAACGACCGGTCACAATTATGTGGATGGGATGCTTCTGATAAACTCCACTGATTTTTCTCAAAATGAAGTGGAAATATGATCAACCAGCTGCTTTGTCAAGGTCCCTAAGGAGCTCATAAAGAGTAAATATTCCGACAGTAAGGAACACTGAGATGGTTGTGGATGACAATATAGGGGGTTAAAACATCGTAGCACATTCTAAATAGGTTGTAATCAATTCTACAAAGTCTTACAACAATGCTAACGTAATTCGCAATTTTACCTACCGTTTCAGCACGTTATGAGATCTTACATCAACTTCAGACTACCGACTCGATCAACTAAACACAGAAACAACTGCCGTGCTAGAGAAACCCTAGTAACAAAGCCTTCTACGGTAATATCCAAGTACCTCTCGAGGACCGCTCACTTGGAATCCGAGGAAGAACTGTGTTTTAACAATATTTATTGTATTAATGAGGATATAATACGACGAAACTTTATGTCGGACCTGAAATTACGTACGAACGCGACCATCAAATGCGGGACAGGTGTATGAAACGAAACCAGTCGATGACAAAGAAGTTCGAGATGGTAAAAGTAAGAGAGAAGTTTGAAGCTTTCGAATTTATAAGCTTCCTAAAATTTTTCCTATCAGAGATCAATAAAAATATATAACTGAGGATTAGTGGTCAGTTGTTAGTAACATCTTATTAGTGATAGGAGTAGATAAACTGAGCTTCTGAAGGTTATCGCGCTGCAAATGTCGCTGAACAGCAGAGGATCATACAATATGCGCTTCGTCTACATGTTTTTCGAAATCATCCACACCTCTGTCTCATCCCTCTATTTGTTTCCGTTGATCAACCGAAAAGAAATAGACGACAAACGTGGCAGCAAACAAGCTGAGTAGAAGTCGTACGAAGAAGGAGAACATCGTAATTTACTCCTTATGCGGGCATTCCTTCCATTCTTCTGGGTTGTAACCCCGGCCAACGTCGTAGACCATGCTGCACCTAAGATAATCTGACGATACTGTATCATCACAAAGGAAAAATCAATGTCGACGTTTAGAACGAGAAGTCGAGGTTAGGAGCTGTTATCTCTTCTTAAAAACAATAAAGAAAGAAGGAAGAATATTTAAAATGAACTGCTTAGTATGACTCAATAAATGTAAAAGATCGAAAAATAGACAAGAGCAAGGTAGAGAATAATAACATGAACAGAGGTGAATGAAGCTGAAAGGAAAAAGCACTGAGTCAAGGATTAAAGATAAAAAACTTTCGGCGTTTATCGACCCCTGAGGTAGGAGCCATGCATTTGACTTCATTAAGCATCTTCGCAGGTCAATGAATGTATATCTGGTCATTACGGTGACTCGCGGGGACCTACTGATGTATCGAGCCAGTGCTGCTATCTTCCCAGACAAGTCCGGTACCAATTTTCTCACCCCGGAGGGAGGGAGGGCTCGGTGAGCCTTGGGCGCGGGGATTGATACCAGGTGTGTGTGTTGCAGTGGCGCCTCCAACCACTGCGCTACATGCGCCATTAAGGAAACAAGGAAGTGAAATTCGAAAATGATAACAATGGAGAAGTGTTAGTTTTTCGATAAGCTTATAAGAGATCGATAACTAGTCTTTATTGTAGCTGATGTTTCAGCGACACCACCTCCTTTAGAACATCAATGATTTAAGCCGAATATCTAAAACACTAGTCTTCCTTGTAATGTGTGAGTTGTCGGAATCTCATTGAGTTGAATCCAGCGGGGTTAAATAGCCTACAATCCATAAATATTGGGTTCCAACCTCATTTAAGCTCATCAATCCACTGAACATTCAACCCAAATTTAAAGGAAAACCTGATTTCGAAAGTGAACAGAATGATGGATACAAATGGGAGAAGTGTTTAACAGTTAACAACGGAAACGAGTTGATTTCAAAAATTACATTAGAATGTTGGCATAAATGATACATTAACACAA